ATCGAACTCATGCGGGTATCGAACTCATGCGGAAGTGGCTTTAGCTTCTTAGTGCTGTGCTTTAACCCACTGCACCACCAGGGAGAGCCCCAAACAGTTTTTATACTTAGCCACTGACACCTTACTGGTCCATCTTCAGAGAGCTCACAGGTGGGATTACTGTGTGACATTTCTTTGCTGTATCATAGAGCAGTTTACTGTGTAGAGGGTGCTCTGATAGCCTTGAGTTAATCAGGTAATAGCCTCTGGAGTGGTCAACTGATTGGCTGGTTAACTAGAAAAGAGATGCTAGGCAAATAGCCATGTGGCATCTGCTGCCTGAAGACATTGAAATTCCATGGTTTTCATCTTTTGCTCTGTAAACCCCCGTGTCCTTTTGTCCATGGCAAAATCAGTTTCCATAAATAACTCTCATTTATCCACCTCTGTGATATGTATATCTGATTACCCTGTATAAGCAGGGTAAATCCTTAGATACTACACACTTGTCTGGTAGGAAGACAAGAATAGGTAGGACCATGTCCAACCAAGTAAGGGCTTAAATCATTTTAAAATAGTTCCTTGCTCCAGTTTCACATTTCTCACTGTTACTATCATTAAATGATCTTGGGGTTTGTAGACTCCAGTTATATCTCTGACTCTTTTGAACAATTAATGATTTTATTTTCTGTTCCAGTGAAGAGGTAGATTTGGAACTTCCAAGCATTGAAAATGAGTATGTGTCAACTTCAGAAGCTGGTGTTGGTGGGGAACCCAAAGTCATATTTAAAGAAAAAACAGTCACTTCTCTTGGAGTCATGGCAGATGGAGTTGCCCCAGTCTTCAAAAAGAGAAGAATGGAAAATGGAAAGACTAGAAATTTAAGGCAGCGAGGTGATGACCAGTAATTAGAAGAGCTTTATGTATATGCTTTTTGGACAGAATGAATACTACACATCTTATAACTCCTGTGTTTGTTTCTAAATACTTTGATGCTAAAAATTTAGATTTATTCTAAATGTATTTTATGTGAATTAAAAATAAATTTTTTCATGTGAAATTTATTTTTGTTCCTAAAATGGAAACCTACTACATTGCATTTGTAATACAGTGTATTATGTTGAGTGTCTAAAAACTGCTACTTCTGTCAAAAATTAAGATGCTATGTATCTGTTATTTAAAACATGGAAAAGCAAGACCTTTCTATTCTTACTCATATGAACATACTGAGGCTGCACTAAAAATGAATTAAATTTTACAGTTTGGTATTAGCTGTTACCCAAGAATTAAGAATCAGACCATCTAAGAGTCATAGCACAATGATGATTCTGTTTTGAGGATTATCAGAAACTGATGTAGAAAGTATATGTGTAGTATATAGCAGACCTTACTAATTTTACAATCCAAGAACTAGGACTTCAATGCAGGTACTTCAAATGCTACTTAATATAGAGTGAAAGTTTGACCAAAGGTAGAAATGACTTTGTCCACTTCAATGCAAAGCAACAACTTACTGCTTATTTTTACTTTGAATGAGGTATTATGCTAGAATTTAAGAATATAAATATAGCATATCACTAATTCTACATCATTTAATACTCTAGCAATTCATTCAATTTAGCAGCCTTATAATATCCCAGAAAAATATTTTTTAAGGTTTATTTGAAGCCATGTAGGTGCAGAATTGAACAAAAGTAGTAAGGTCTCTGGCTCAGTAAAAGTTTTTAGTGTTCCCTTAGACCAATTATAAATGTTGTTTCCTGAATAATTTATAGAAAGTAGAACTCTGTTATGTAATTCATTTGAAATGGGTACTTTGCTTTATTACTCCAGATTTTTAACATTATATTTTTTATACATTGTACAGTATTTAATGTTGGTAGTATTTGTCTTTTTAAGGTTGCTAGTTTAAATGTAAGAAAATGGTAGCTTATTAAAAACATTAAAAAAATAGTTTTTTTTCCTCGTGTTAGAGACAACTTTGCATTGGTCTACAGTATTTGGAAATTTGTCTTTACATCTGTTCAGTCTATATACTTGAGTATGCCATGCATATATAGTGTTATGAAGAAGTATTTTAGGTTCTAGATCACCCATTTGTCATTTAACTTAGGGGAGTGAATTTGGGGTTTTGATTCTCCTCAGTTGGACAAGAATATAATTGAATGATAACAATATTTTACCCTAATTTAGTTTGTACAAAATATGCAGTTTAAGACTTTTTTTGAAACTGTACACTAGTGTGTGGAGTGTTTCTTTTTGATACATTTACTAAACTACTTTGCCATTTATAAGGTATTCTTAGAAGTTTGAAGGTAAGTAGGTCTCTTTAAGCTGAAGATGATTTTAAGGATTGCTCAGAAAAGACCACAAAATTACCAAATCAAGTCATGAAAAATAGGACTCCTATTTGCTTTGAAAAAATAAGTAGAAATTATACCCAACATAAACATTCTTAAGAGCATTATAAATTACATCTAAATTTAAAAGCACATAGTTGTCCTGATAGTTCTTCTAGAAATTTATCCTGTTTCTCACACTTGTGAAAAGTCACCTGTGTAAAAATAATGCATCATCATTTCTGAGTCAGAAATAGAAACATCCTTATGATCTACTAATACAAAACTAGTTAAAATTAAAAGCTCTGACAATTACTGATTTTTTTGTCTAATGAAGTTGGGGCTAGAGAAAAATCTAATGATTATCTTGATACATGCCAGGAAAAGTATCTCAAAATTATTATTAATTGTATAGAAGAAACCTCAACAGAGGTAGTAAAGGAGGAACATAACACGACCAGTCATAAAGAGCATGTCAAGCAACTGATGTAATCTAGGTAGCTGGATTTCCATTGGCAAAAGCTTCCATTGATCCATTTTCAACAATCGGCAGATATCTTGGTTTAGTTCTACTTTTGATGCCTGACTGACTTAATGTATAATATTCAGTGTTTACTTAAAAGAATTTAAATGCATGGAGTTTGCTAAAAGACTAAAATGAATTTCTTCCAAATATGTAAATGAAAATAACCCAGGTGTTTTGGTACAAAATACACAATGGACACCAGATTGCACCCTCTTGCTGTCTGTCTTTGCCCCTTTAACTGTCCTCTGTGTATTTATTGAACATGGTTGAATGTATTGAAGTGGTTAGTGGTCATGTTAAAACTGAAAAGATTAAGGGCCCTCCCTGGTGACAATGGGTTGGAAAGCTGGCAGGGCCACTTCAGTGTGAGTTCAATCCCTGGCTCTGGAGGTGATCCACATGGCATGGCAGACCTCTCCTGACTCTCCTCTCCTGTCTGCTCTCCTCAGCACTGGATTTCATTGATCTGCCTGTTCTATTCTCTGGTGAATCCTCTCACTGCCCCTGCACTTTTAGCCTGTACCCCAGTTCTGTATACATAAATAAAATCTTTTAAAAAAAAAATTGAAAAGGTTACTGGTAGGTATTAAAATTCTATAGATGAAAAAGCATTCAGGGGCCCTCCCTGACACGCAGCAGGTTAAAGCACAGCACTAAGAAGCTTAAGCCACTTCTGCATGAGTTCGATTACCGCCTGTACCATGGTGAGGTAGACTTCTGACCAGCCTGCTGCTCCCCTCAGCAGTGTACTTCGTCAATATGCCTGTTCTGCTCCCCTCTCTGTCTCTGGTGAATCCTCTCACCCTCTGCATCTCTGGCCTGTACCCCAGTTCTGTATGAATAAATAAAAAAAAAATTTTAAAAAGCATTCAGAATTGGACAGAAAAAGGTGTTATGTATTGAAGTAATTATAGGATCTATAGTTCATGGCTGGTTAAATGACTAACCCTGTTTAATAAAACCATTCTTAGATCTCTTCAAAACAAATCTCAATCCTTGAAGACTTAAACATGAAATTCAAGAAACAATCATGGAGAAGATAAAAACTAAACTCTTAAGTTTGTTTTATAACAATTATCTTTTTAAACAACTTGGATAGAAAACCCAACTAAACTTGCAGAGGCTAGAGAACTTGGAGTAAATAGGGAAGGGTTGAAAGTAGGTATCTCTTGTCACTTTGCTTCACTTTTCCTTTTATAGACTTGAATAGCTTTGTTTCTAATTATCTGTCATCTTTGTAAAATATAAATATGTGTGAGAAACATGATTTATAATAGCATGATCATTCTATAATTGAAAACATTATGCATTTGGTTTTCTGCTAGAATATGCCAATCACAAATAACCTGTAGCTTTGGAGACCAGTGTGTTGCTATGACAACCAGACAAAAGAGTTTAATAATAGCTTTCCCTCAAAGCTGGAAAATTGACAGAGAGCTATAAATGCAAGTGTTTCTCATATAAATGCAAACAAGTCCAAATACATTTACTTCTTTGTTCAACAAATACTCACTGAATGCCAGTGCTGTGTCTGTCACTGTGTTAGGAGCTATGGAAAAGATGTGGCTCCTCCATGATGGAGTGTATGTTATGTGCAAGGAAACACAGTAAATAGTAAACAAATAAACTAACTCCAGCATGTGAGAAGGTCATACAGGAAATAACACAAGTACTGTCTAGTAGAGAATATGGAGAAGCCAGTAACAACATATTAAAATTTGTTATTAAGCTTACAGCAAAAAATTAGAATTGCAATAGAAATTGGCACCACATAGTCTATTAATGCAAGTATAGAAACTTACTACTAGCATACACTTCACTTGCTGGCAAAGGTTAGGGCTCTATATGAAAATCATTGTTTCCTAAGTAGTATTTATAATGAAATTATGATAAAAGTGCTATCACATGGGCCCTCCGTGGTGACACAGAGGGTTAAAGCACAGCACTAAGAAGTTTAAGCCACTTCCGCATGAGTTCGATTCCCGCCTGCCCCGGAGGTGACCACATGGCGTGGCAGACCTCTCCTGACCCGCCCGCTGCTCCCCTCAG